GGATAAACTAATTTATAGAGCTTGTACTTAGTACTTACAAAACATCAAAATTAAACTCTCAAATTAAACTCAACCACTAACTCAATCCCAATATGCTATCTCTTATCTAATCAAAACAACTTTACTACCAAAAGAATCAAAAAAGATTTTTTTTAAATGTTTTCTAATTAAACTTACAAAAAAACCCAAAAATCAACAACAGAACAAAACAAACAAAAATACAAACAAATCTAAAAATCAAAAGAACTTCTCAAACTTAAAAACTTCAAAAGAACCTAAACCCAAACTAACCTTTGACTAGCTTGCCAATTTTCCAATAACTGAAGAAATGAAAGCAAATACAAAATTCCAAACTAAACTATCTTTTGAACTCTTCAACTTTATAAAATCAAATCTTACTAACTTTTCTTCTGAAAAATTATCATTCAAATATCTTATCCATTCAATAGCTAGCAAACAACCAAAATTTTTTACAGATCTAATTTACAAAGCAAACCTACAAATCAATTCAATTGCTACTATTCACTTCGATCTTTTAGAATCTACTCTTAAAAACCTTATAGAAAAATTTATAACTATCCTGTTCACTAAACTTAACTATAGAGAAATTTTTGCTTTACCAGTTACTATTCCTCAACGCAAAATAGAAAATCATCTACAAATCTGCCTTAACATAGCCAAACTTCATCTCTACATAACAAACTACTATCAACTAATAGATTATACTAAATTTAATGAAGATTTTAAACTAAGACCTAAAAAATTTAAAATCAATTCAAAAATTGAATTAGTAGACCAAGAAACACAATATTTCAAAATTTCTTCTGACTTGTGTTTTAACATTCAACTTTTTTTCAACCTTTCTAAAACCTTCTTTTTAGACTATTTCAATATACTTTCTCTCAAAAACTCTCTTAACCACCTTATTGAATAGTTTGAAAAAATCTTTCTAGCTTATTCAAGGCAATGCACAACTCCTATTGACAAACAAAAAACTCTATTATACCTTAAATATTAAATTTGTCAATACTTCATACTTCACCTAACAAAACTTTTATCAGAAAAGTATGAATTTAGAAAACCTGCTTCATAAAGAGACTGCTAAAATGAAGCAACTTGCTATACAAATCATCATATTCTAACTTGTACAAACAAAACTTGCAAATACTTAATCAAAGCTCCAAATCAAGACAAATCATCTGAAAAACTAAAAAAATTTCACAACAACACTACTCTCTTTAAAGATATTCTTAAGTACTCAAAAACAGCCTTTCCTCTTCAAGAATATGAAATATGGAAATCTCCAAATATTGATACTTCTATCTTTAAGATGAATAGTGAATATGAAGTCTCACTCAAAAACAAAATCCCCTTACAAATACTCGATGAACTTGCAAATCAAGTAGAGAAATTTATCTGTAAAGAAAACAAAGTTCTAACTAATATCAAATGTTGCAATTACTACTTCTATCTCTACCTAATAGAATACTATAACTATGCAGCTCAAAATCATAAAATTATAGATCTTTCAAAAGAAAAAGCTATCAAACAAATTACTAATTAACTCATAGATACATATTATCTTGCCTGAGTTATCATCTACTATGATATCATTCTTAACAAAAAACCAACTTATAAAATCATAACTGATTTCTACAAAACAATAGCATATCCAGAAGCAGAAAAACTACTTCAAGATAAATTTAACATTACCTTCCAAGAAATACAAATTGATGACTCTCTATTTCTCTAAACTAAAAATACTCCTTTTCAATAAACTTGTTTTCTATCTATTATCTACTGTTTGACTATATAGAAAATAATACTTTAGTAGAATCATATATAACATCTTTAAAATCTTGTGATTTACACTCATGCTAAAACAAATTTCTCACTTTTTATAAACTTCCTCTAATATCATCAAATCAAACAACTAAATCCTTTCTTTACTATTTAAAATCTTTCAAACTTTCTATTAATCTAACCTTTTCATATTATCCTATACTCAAAGAAACTCATATTTATATACCAGACAATTTAAACGTACTTAAAGATCATTATTTTATCAAATCAAATTAACTCAACTAATACTATAATATTACTCTTAAGTCAACAAATATTAACTCCCAAACTCCAAATCCAACTTATAAGTAGTTTTCAATTTAGTATCTAGTAATATCTCTTTTTATTATTTTAAAAAAACTAAAAAAAAATCTTTCTTAATCTCTGACTATAGTTTTAATAGATCAGGTCAGTTAAGTAGTTTCATCTTAGCAATTGAAATTAAGATATTATTCTATTATAATATAATAAAAATATAATAAATTAATCTGATACTTATATTTAATAAGTAATCTAATATTTAACTAAGCAAATAAAAGTAGCTGATATTTTTTAGTATATAAATAAGATATTTATTACATATATGCTTAATAATTTTTTTGTAATTAGAAAGAAACTTTAGCATTTTTTCAAAGTATATTTATCTTGCTATTTTTTTCTATAGTTGTTGCTATTGCTTTTATTGCTATTGTTGCTATTATTATTGTTATTGTTATTGTTATTGTAGTTACTACTATTATTATTGCTATAATTGTTACTATTATTGTTATTGCTATTATTGTTGCTACTAACATTATTGCTACTTTTATCAGTACTAGTTACTAGTGAACAGGTTTTTTCATATAATTTTTTAATAAATTTATTGATTTTTTTGCTAAGACTTTAGATTTGATTTCTTAATAACTTTATTCTATCTAATAAAAAAAAAGAAAAAAAACAAGCTATATATAGATGATAAACTAATATACATAGAGATATAACTAACTTATATAAACTAATATAGAGTTATAACTTATATATTTATGTATTACTAATTTATACTTAATATATATTTGTTTGTTTAATAATAACTTTGTTATTTAATCTTATATCTTGTTCAAAAGAAAAAGATAATTTTATTTATGCAAGAGAAAAATATAATTTTATTTACTCAAAAGAAAAAGGCTAAAAGTACTTAAAAAATTTATATTTGAAGAAAAAAGATAATAGTGTTAGAGACTATAAATATAATAAAAAAGTTTCAAATTATTTTGATAAAAAAAAATAAATTTGTATTTTCTTTATTACTTTAGAGAAAAAAAAGTGTATGATTTAAATATAATAACCAAGTAATTTTTTGTTTTCTTATATATATAAATATATAAGAAATTTTTATATATAAAAATTTATGCATAAAAATTTAATACATAAAAATTTAATATGTAAAAGAAGACTAAAAATATTGTATAATTTTATTAACTTATTTTTTATAATACTAGATATATTAAAACAATAAAAATTTAATATTATTATTAAGCTTATCTCTAGATACTAACTACAATATAGCTAATTTTTAATTCTATAGTAATCTATATTAAACTTAATATTTATATTGATATTTATATATGATATTGAATTTGAAGTGTATTTGTAGTAATAAATATCAGATCTTAAAACTAATAAACAAAACAAAATCTGATATTCTTTTTTTTAATATTAGTAGACTAATTATAGTAAACTCTTTAGATTATAATTTTATAAATTATATTATACTAATATTAATTAAATATTAAAAGTATAATATAATACTATATAAATAAATCTTAATATGGTGCAGAACAGTCAGAGACATCCAATCATTATACAAAAACGCCAATTTTGATGCTTATATAATCAATTTTGATTGGCTAATTCTTATATAATTAATTTTAATTAGTTAAAAATATATATATATATTTTTTTTTTATATTAAATACTAATTTTTTGAACTTATATAAACTTTAATCTTTTATAACTTTTTTAAAATAAAGGATAAAAAAAAATCCTCTAACAGAAATATAGTTTATCTAAAAATCTATTAATTTGTTAAAGGATTTTTTGATTTAACTTGTTTTAAAAAACTTATAACACTTTAAAGTTTTTATTAATAAACATTAGATATCTCTAACTATTCTGCACTATACAAATTGGCTAGAGCTTTTAAAAGATAAACAACCTGAAAAGGATTTAGATTTTAATAATCTAGATGAAGTAGGTTACTCTGCTGCTAGTCAAAATACCAAATAGTCTTTATTACAAATTTTTCAAGATAATATTAAGCAACCTACTTATTATAATTTGTTATTAGGAGATTAAATATAATAATATTTATAAAATTTTATTGATTTTATTAGTTAATAAAAATTATATGATTTATAAATAACAGATGGTCATAAAAAATAAATGATTTTTTTTAAGACAAAAATGACTTGTCATATGATATGTTGTCATTTATTTTAAATGACAATATGCCAACACTGTTTGAAATATAATAAGTGACGGTGAATAACTTATGATTCATTGGTGTATTTTGGACCATCTCGATGAGACGATCCTAACTAGCCTAAAATCCCATCATAGAACCCAAGATCGTTAGTCGTTTGTCATTTTAGAGGTTTTAAAAGTCGCTAAACCTATACTCAAAGTGACATAAAACAAGTAAAAATCAAAAAATTTGATATATCGAATAGCAGTATTCAACTGCCATTCGACTGACATTCAACTGTCATTCGATTGACATTCAACATGTTACAGTATTCGATCTGCCATTCGAATACTGTAACATGTCGAATGACAGTTGAATAACGTATCAGTTGAGTGGCCGCCATTCGACATATCTAATTTTTTGATTTTTATTAATGATAAGCCGTAATTTAAGGCGATTTTAGGGTCATTTGACTCGATGACCATTTTGGTGGTAAAATCATCAAAAATGAACCAGCGGATCAAGAGCTATTTAAAGATTAATTCCAAATATATATCTGATATGAATTATCTTATTACTAATAAAATATTAAGAGTTTATTAATACCCTGTGATCTTGACATAGTGATCAGGGTATTATATTTATATATGAATACAGTATAATTGTATCGATATGTATGTATAAAATTAAAACTAGTCCTTAAATACCAGGTCCTATGACCAGGTCTTGGGGTCCTGAATTTAAGGGCTATTACCATAATGCAAATACTACACTCAATGGGATAAATTTTTCTCAAAATTGGCCAAGGGCTAGGCAACCTGTTGTGACGTACAGAATTATTTATTGTACAGGATTATTATTTTTTTCTGTTATATAAACAAACTTTTATACGCAGAAAATTCTCACGCTTGAACTGTTTGTTGTACGTACAGACTTTTTTACAATACCATTTGTTCAGTTAGACATGCATAAAATGAATCTAAATATAGATGATTTTTACTACTTTTTGATAGCATATATTCCACGAGCCATAAATGAATGCTGTCTATAATGACTAGAAAAGTAAACATTCCGACTTGAGTCACATTACTCAAATTGTATTGTCAGAATATAGTAGTTTGTTATTAATCCGAGTCATAAGATATCATAGTCGGATAATGTGCAAATTAGTTGTATTCTGTATCAAATTTCAATTGAATGATCATGGGATTAATTAATGTACGAATCGAATCGTAAAAGGGGTTAATAATAATATGCTGTATACTGGTTAATATAAATCTCCTTTTGAGAAAAGAATTTTATCGGTACAGTACATTATATAAACTTTATATTTAAACCATAAAAGTTTTTACAAAAAAATGTACTATGAATAAATTTTATATTTAATTAATTTTATTACCTTCAAATAACAACATCTGATGAATCTTTATTATTATCAGGAATCCATATATCCCTTCGGTGATTGTTCTCGATAGATAATACAATAAAACTAATAAAAAAGGAACGAACCCAAAAAAAAAAAAAATTTAAAACGGATTACCCTTTTACGATCAAAAAAAAATTAATATTCTGATCTTGGCAAAAAGGTAATTAACTATAACAAGAAATCTACTTACTATCAATAGAAATCACTATTATTATTAGTCTATAAAGCTTGCAGTAAATATACAGAAGCACTACAGAAATAGTTGACAATGCTTCCAATAATATTTCGATTTGATAAGATAAATGATGTCTTTGCACTTGCATCCTTCTATAACGAAACAAACATGATTTTCCATCATTGTGCAGATTGTAATTTATGAGTGATATATAAGTGTCATCTATCACTTTCTTTCTCTGGATTCCTTTTTGTCATTTCTTAGTAAAACCTGATTTTTAGATGAAAAAAACATTTTTGAATGCACGAATTCAATTATAATAACTCTGTATTTTTTTTAATTTTTTATCGTCGATTCGGTGATTCTCCTTTATAGGATTGTCAAAAAAACTGATTATTTTTTGTTAAAAAATGGATTCAGTCGTTGGATTTTGGGGTGAGCCGACTGCTACGGGTACATATGAAAACATTATCATGAATGATCCAATCTTTTTTTTTTTTTTTTTTTTTTTACTAATATATTATGATATCAAATCCGATCTTTTAATATTTAGTTGGTAAGTATTACAAGATTTTCTTGAAAATATTTATTTTCTGGCTCTTGTACATACCTATATTCATTTATTAGCTGATGATCTCGTGTAATAGACTGGTGTGAGAGAAACTATGATATGACACATTACGTTGCTGAATTTTTCAATACTCTTTCATCCTTATGCATGGTTTCCGCTGGATTATTTGGTATTTACAAGCATTCAAAAGGCTTTGAACCTCGATTTTCTATATGTTTTGCTTCGTATGTACAAAAAAAAAAAATCATTATTTAACTAAATTCAAATCTCTCGATAAATCATTTTACTTATTTCTACTTTTTAAGAATAATCGTGGTAGGAATTGGTTCGATCCTATTTCATGGCACGTTACTCTTTTCCTTACAATTATTCGATGAAGTACCAATGATGTTTTGTGTCTTGATGTTGTGTTATTCGGTATTCGAAAATCAAAAAGAGAAGAAATTTGGAAAGTGGTTTCCTATTGGATTGACTATTTGGGGTCTTTTTATTACTGCAGTTATGGTACTGAGTGGAAGGTATCATCAAGATAGAATGATGCAGTTAATTGAGTTTTATGTTTTTCAAGGTAAATTCTTATTTTTAACTTTTATAATATAATGGTTATAGTAAATACTAATACTATATCTATGTCGCCTCTCATCATGTAGGATCATTCGTAGTGATGGCAGGATGTGTTTACTTAAATACTTTATTTATAGTATTTGATTCAAAGGCTGAAAAAGGTGTTCGCCGATTATGGTTATTAGGAAGTGTTGTATTTCTAATCGGTTATATCGGGTGGCATATTGATTTACATTTTTGTAGTAGAATGCATAATTTACCCTTTGATGTACCTAATCCTCAATTACATGCGTGGTGGTAAGTTTTTCAAAAAATATTTACGTGTAATTACTTTTATTCATTTGCTGTCATAGGCTAAATTCTTTATTTATAAAAAAGGCATTTTACAGCTTCATATGGAAGTTACCTACTTTGTGTACTAGTAACTTATAATGGATCAAAAGCATTGGGTAAGAATCCAAGCTTACGATGGATATTGAGTATTTTACCATACATTGAATTACCGGAAAATAATTCTTTGAATGAGAAATCTGTACTCTATGGAAATGAAAAAAGTGAAAAAGTATCCAATTATGGTACTATTATCAATGATGTTGGTCAAAATGGTGAATGTGAGAAACATGTTAATATTATTCATACTTCAACAGGTACTATATCAAATAAATAAAATAATCTCATCAACTAATTATAGGAATTTCTGACGTTAGCTTACTGCTAATGTGAATTATTGACTAAGTGAAGGAAAGAATAAAATAATAACATAATTATCATAAATAATATCGATACTCTTTAAATTGTACTTTAGATGTATTTTTTTGTCTTAAAATATTAGAACATATTTGTTAGAAACTTTTTTTTATTAATAAAAATTATATACATATTGTTATATTCATATTACTACGTATAAATTTCGAATTTTTTAAAACTATAAAAATAAATTATTTAATTTAAATTAGTTTTTTTTAAAAAAAAACTTAACATATTTACTTTATTATTAACGATATACTTTTTACATTTATTTATGGTTATGGTACGATTCCCCGAAAACTATTTACCCGAAAGTCTATTTACCCGACATCACATGAGGTGAAAATTTACTAATAAATATACCTATAGCCAACTAAATGCTAAATTGTCACCCTATGTGTTATCGGGTAAATGGACTGTCGGGTAAGTAGTTTTCGGGAAATTGAGTGACAACCTTTATTTATTTATTTTTTTATTTTCAAAAAAAAAAAGAATAACAAATACGATATATATTTTATATTATTTGAAAATACAATATTTTATTTATAATAATATTTAATATACAATAAAATAGAATTATTTTTCGAGATATTCTTTGTTTCGGAGAAAAATTCTCCTACTCGTCCCAACCACCACGAAGAGGTGATATCTCACGGTTGGGAAGGTTTCCCCCAACCCCTCTCTCTCCACCGGTACTTGTCTTGGTACGTTTCCCGGCTTCGAACGGGTTGTTCCCGAATCATTAATACACTCTTCTCTTTCGTATTTCATCAGGCTTTGCTATAAAAAGTTAGTTCAAAAAATTTAACAAGGTCTCACCGAAACGATAGCTCCGAAATACGGTAAAACACCATAAAACGACGACTACGATAACGATAAGAATTAAATTACACCATAAAACGACAACGAACAACGACAGCGATAACAAAAACAATTAAAATTACACCATAACAATAACGATGGCGACGACGAGAAATTAAATTACACCATGAAACGACGACGACTAGAAATTAAAATTAAAAAGTATATCTTATAAAATATAATAAAAGAAATAAAAAGTAAAGGATACGGAAATGTAAATTAGAAGAGAGAAGAGTAAAAAGAGGCCCTTATATATCATGGCATTTTTTTTTTTGCGATTTAAGTTTATACAATCATATGAATAAAAAAAAAACCCCCCACGTTTTTACAATAGACATCTGAACGTCATTTTAGTGAATCGAATATCATGCATGCTATTTTAGTAAATCGTCAATTTTTACATGTACTAATTTAGAAGTTAATCATGATTAATCTCGAAAAGGCTATGCAAAGTTAATTATTTGGTTCTCATAACATGAAAATTTAAATTTTATATCGATATATAAAATTTTATAAAATAAAATTTTTTTATATCATAAAAGACTATTGCTAATTTTCACCCTAGGTAATATCACTTCTTTATATGTAAAACCAATCAGATCGCAGGATCTTGTGTAACAAAAATGAAATTTAAGAAAAAATTAAAAAATCGTAAATATCTCAAAATTTTATGATGAAAACCAGCTTTGGATTATTAAGTAAAAGTTTTCAGCACGTAATTTTGCATGTATAGAACCTCTAACCCCAACCCTAATACGAATTCGAACCTAACCCCACCTTCTAAAAGTTTATTTTATTTATTTATTTAACAATTTTAAGGGTGAAAATTAGTTAAAATCTATCATAAAAATCCACCCGGTTATTAAACATATAAAAACTTTGATCCGGCCGGGTTATGAGAACCAATTCATATGGCCTAATTTAAGTCTCACAATTTTGACTGAATTATTAGGTGCTACAAGTACTAAGTATATCGATATCAAAGAGCATTTCTATACACTAGGTGTTTGCGTAATTTATCCAATCAAATCGCAAATCTCATATGTGACAAAGAGATCTCGTGTACTGTAACCAACAAAAAAAAAATTTCTCTGAAATTTCAAAATTTTCTTATGAAACCGCTCTTTATGTTCTAACAAAAAAAAAAAAATCCATTAAGCGATTATATATATATAAACCTGTATTAACCCTAACTTAACCTAACCCTAGCCCTAAACTTAAGCCAGGAGGTTTTTTTTTTATTATACACCCCATGTACAAATAGGAATATGAATTAACCGAACGTTAGTCCAGTACTGTAGTCCGTTGTAATGTCAATGAAAATATGTGAGCATCAAACTTTATAACGATAATATTTAATTACGTTAACTAATTAAATGTTTTATGAAAATAAAGTGTCTGAATATTCAGAACGATTAGAAACTTATTCAAAAAAACACAATATAAAAAATTTTGAATATTCACAATATAGCGACCTTAAATGTATTGGTAAGGGAGGTTATGGAGTTGTATATTCGGCCACTTTTCAGGGTCAGCAATATGCATTAAAAAGTTTAAACAATAACTTAAATTTTGGAAAAAAAGAATTCAAAAATTTCAAACGTGAGGTAATTTTACTTAATTTATTGTCAAATATTCAAAAACATATAATTAATTTTATTAAATATTCATAATTCAATTTCAAAAATATTTTAAATTATAGCTTGAATGTCTTTATAAAATTGATCATTCTAATATTATAAAATTTTATGGAATATCTAGAGGCAAGAATTTTACAAATGAATTTAGTGAAAATATTTGAGTAGTCTAAAAAAAAATAATATCTCTATTCAGAATGATATATTTCTAAATATATTTTATTACTAAACCCTTTATTAAAAACAAAATTTTTAGATGACAAAACGAACAATTTTATTTTAGTGTTACAATATGCTACTGATGGTAACCTACGAAAATATTTACAAAGTAAACAAAAAGACGGACTTTATAAAATTTTATGGGTTGATCTCATTCGGATTTCAAAGGAAATTACTCTTGGATTAAATTATTTACATAATAAAAATATTATTCATCGTGATTTAGTACGATTCTATTTTTTTTTTAAAAAAAAAAATATTTAAATTTCCGTCCTAAATTTAAATTAACAAATTCTTAATTTTAATTAGCATTCTATGAATATTTTGATAAATAATGGTAGGGCACTGATAACTGATTTTGGAATATCAAAAAATTTAGATACTACTTCTGGCGCTGCTTCAAGCACTGGCGCTAATGGCATGCTTGCTTACCTTGCGCCACAATTCTATATTCCTGGTAAAAGTGGTAAAAAGACAGTCAAGATTGATAAAAAATCAGATATTTATAGTCTGGGTATACTTTTCTGAGAACTTACAAGCGGAATTCCGCCATGTAATAATTTTAGCAATTTAGAAATTCCTTTGCTAATTGTAAAGGGTTACAGGGAGGAAATTATTGAAAACACACCCTTAGGCTATGCCAATCTATACAAGAAATGCTGGTCTTCTGAACCAGATCAGTGTCTATTTTCTAATGAAGTATTAGTCGAACTTGATAAATTATCAGCAGAAATTATTGTAGAGTTTATTATATATAAAATTAATAATAAAAAACAAGAAATTAAATATAAACTCCAAGAAATTGAAGATAGTGACCGAGAAATTGAAGATAGTGACTAAGAAATTGAAGATAGTGACCGAGAAGTTGAAGATAGTGATCGAGAAATTGAAGACAGTGACCGAGAAATTGAAGATAAATACTGAAAAATTGCTACTCTAATAGGTATCAGGGTGAATCAATTAAAGGATTGGCTTCAATTAAATGAAGAAAAAGATCAGTTAATAAATGAAATAGAAGTACCAAAGAAGAACCTCGAACTTATGAAAGAAAAACTTAAAAACGCTAAAAATGATAACAAGGAAACTAAAGAACTAGAAGAGCAAATTAAAAATTTACAAAAAGAATTGGATGTCAAAGAAAAAAAGATAAAAGAACTGGAAAATAATGAAAAAGCAATTAGAAAACTTTCTGAGTTGAAAATTGGATTAAAGGAATTAAAAGAAAAATTTTATTCTAAACTAGATAAAATGGGAACTATTTTCAGAAAAAAAGAAATAATTATTAATACATTGGAACTATATTTGAAGGCAGTAGAAAAATGGATTCCCGATGGGACGAATAAGTCTACTAAAGAGGATGTAGTGAATCTACAACAGGAACTAAAAAAACTTGGTCTTGCAGCAGAACTGAATGAACTTTCGAATAAACAAAGAGAGGTTACTAAGATGGAAATGAAGATAGTTAAAATTAAAAATAAAGACCAAGGAATTGAAGATAGAGACTGAGAAAATGAAAATAGAGACCGAAGAATCGCTAATCTAGTAGGTATCAAGGTGAATCAACTTAAGGATTGGCTTCAATTAAATGAAGCAAAAGATCAGTTAGTAAATGAAATAGAAGAACTAAAGAAGAAACTCGAACTTAAGGAAGAAGAACTTAAAAATGCTAAAAATGATAGCAAGGAAACTAAAGAACTAAAAGAGCAAATTAAAAATTTACAAAAAGAATTGGATGCCAAAAAAGAAAAGATAGAAGAACTTGAAAATAATGAAAAAGAAATTAGAAAACTTTCTGAGTTGAAAACGGGATTAAAGGAATTAAAAGAAAAATTTCATGCGAAACTAGATAAAATGATAACTATTTCCAGTCAAAAAAAGAAAATTATTAATACATTGGAACTATATTTAGAGGCAGTGGAAAAACGGACTCACGATGGGATGGATAAGTCTATTAAGGATGAAGTGGTGAACAAACAACAGGAGCTAAAAAAACTTGGCCTTGCAGCAGAACTGAATGATCTTTCGAATAAACAAAGAGAGGTTACTAAGATGGAAATTAAGATAGCTGAAATTAAAGCAAATAAGGCAAAATTTAAATGATCGAGTAAATGATCAAGTAGTGAATGGACAATTATTCTGAGACGAATATGAGGAAAGCCAGGTTGAGACTGCTTGATATCGAATCTTTTTTCGTGTTCTTTCTTCAACCCGGCCGTTTTTTATTTTCTGCTTTTTTTTAATTTTCTTTTCTTTTCAAATTTCTTTTATTTTTATTTTTTTTTTCATTTCATTCTTTTCTTTCATTCTTTTTATTTTATTTTATTTTTTTATTCTTTTTTCCTGTGGTTTTTTTCTTGTAACCATTGTAAATAAATTTTTTTTTATATGTTGTGATACAACTTTAGTGATGTCAATTCAATAAATTTCAGTGTACGAAATAATAACGATAACTTTTATTTGTTGTATAAATTCGTATAATGATGATCGTCCAACTTAGCGATGCATAGATTTATCCTTTAAAATTTTATCTCATAAAAAATAGAAACTTCGATTTTTTTTAAAAAAAGCACTAAATCCGTTTCTAATTTATCATAATCATTGAGGTACGCATTTTTTAAATCAGGAATTCTATGAAAATACGCAGAAATTTTGAAATTCTCAAAAGGCCTGAATATTGGGAAAATTTGGTTACAAATTTTTCCGTGTTCCCGATCCGAAGCAGGGACGATGATTTTATGCAGCAATAAATCGTCAATTATGAATGCGGTAAAAGTTAATTATGCATAATTTTTTTATACGTATAAATGCATATTAATGTGCATAATTTTTTTATCTGGAAAACTCGTATGATTAGTGATGTGCCGCGTACAGTACTATACGTACTGTAAAGTACGTGCGTACTGTACGCGAGATTTTTTGCCGATCACTTTATATAGGCCAATACCGGGAAGCGATAACCATTATCCTGATTAGCGACAATCCTACCGTACACCATTAACTATAGTATCCAGTGTGACAAATAATTTAGCATGGGGGACTTTCGTATTTTTAGGAAAAGCATGGGATTTTTCATGCGTCAACATAATATATTATTTCTATTATAGTTAACTTTTGAAGTAAACTTAGTTAGTTTTAGAAGAATAAAACTCTTTTGACTAGTTTATAATAGCAATTTACAAGTATATATTAAGATTTTTAAAACTTTTACATAATTAACAAAACTATACTATTATTTATATATTTTTTTTTTTTAACTTAGGTAACCTTACCCTTGGTTTATTAGTGGAAGATTTATAAAGAAATCATAATACAAAAATAAGAAGAAAACTAATGTTCTAAACTACTAATATATCCCACCCTTGCAACCTTGAATTCACTCAGCTTGCCTTACGCCACCCAGGTGCGATCTACCGCAAAAAGTATTTATCTCTCTAAAAGGTGTTCTACTGAAGTAGGGTGGTTTCTTCAGATCAACAATAGGTTCTTTTACACCTTATCAAGGTCCTAGGTTGCTTCTAATCTAATCGAAACTAAATTACAAACTATTAATACCTAGTCCAAGTTAAAAATAAAAATTGTTGTATATAATAAAACGTAGCTAATTATATGAACTAAGCTTATAAGGGAAAAATCTGTTACCAGATTAAAAAACCTTTACAAGTAAAAAAGTAAAGAAAAAAGAAAAAAAAACAAATACTCTAATTAACATAAAGAAAAAAAGAGTGTGACAAAATATAAAAATATTATGCAATGCAAAAACAAGAATACATATCTCTAGCAATAAACTTCTCTAGAAGTTAAATCCTAATTGGATCATCTATATGATGGTGATGTACGTGTTTGTTGTCTTGTCTAAGTTGCATATCAACAGATGATTTGCTAAATTAGAAAGTGGTATGAACTTGCAGATTTTTTATCAGAGGTTTACCAAATTCTCTACTTTTTTATTTTTCAGTATAGAGAAATCCAAAGGTCTAGAGAGAAACAGTAGTAGTGCCAAAAAAATAAAAGAGAGTGTATATTTTCTAAAATCTACTATCTACTTGTATTCACCTAGAGTATAACTGGTACTTATCTTCTGTGTATAAGTAATAAACTCTAAGCTTGTCAGCAAGTAGCGTATAAGAACTACTTCTAAACAACAAGTGCTGCTATGATATTGCAGTGAGTGATAAACTTTAAGCCTGTTAGCAGATAGCATATAAGAACTATCTCTAAATAACAGGTACTGTTTTATGCTTCCCTGCATTGTTGCTCTTATGTTTTTACAAAGTTTATTATATTTTTTTAAAAAAATAAGTTGGGAATTTTTAGTATGAGGGATCGTCAGAAAGAGTTGGTTTTGTATACTATTATTTATAATAAAATGATTTCTATTAAATTAAATATCTTCTGAAGAATATATAATTTTTAAAAACAGTATAAATTTATAATAAAATCAAAAAAGTAATTATTTAAATAATAACAGATAGTTTAGTGATCTTAGTATAGTAGCTAAATTACTAGACTATTATATAAGAGATCTGGAGTTTAAATTTTATTGTTGACGAATTTGAATAATTATCTGAATTTTTGTATCTAACTTATAGTAAATTCTGTCTATTTCTAGAAGTTGTAACTATAAATCATGTTGTACTAATATCAATTGGATATTAGAAATATGATATAATATTGCATAAATAAATTTTAATAGAATCTATAAGTAGAATATCTGCAAGATAAAAATCTTGAGTTAGGTGAAATAGTACAGATTTTAATAATTATGCTAGTTAATATTTGATTTAAAAAAGAAATCAAGGTCTAGTAATCTAGTGTAGTAGATAAGTTGTCGAACCACTATACAATAGGTTTGGGATTCAAATCTTTCTGTTGACAATTTGAATAATTTCTCAAACTTTGTATCTAACTTATAGTAAACTCTGTCTGTTTTTGAGAGTTGTAACTCTGTAAATCATATTGCATCAATGTTGTTCAGATATTAGAAGTGTAATAGAATATTGGAGTTGTATTATATGAATAAATTGAAATAGGATCTATAGGCAGAGAACTTGCATAGTAGAAATCTTGAGTTAGATAAAGTAGTACAGATTTTAACAGTCATACCAATTAACACTTGATCTGATAAAGATTTCTGAGTATGAAGATGTAGATTGAGTAGATGTGAGTAAGTTTATAACATTGTGTATTATGGCAATACTAACTTAGCTTAGTGGCTAACTAGATTAAGAGGATTTGCTTCATAAAACATTTAGAAGAATACAGAAGTTTAAACTAGTAGAAAGCTATAGCTAAAACTAGGTTCATATGAATATCAAATAAAGATATATGCAAGCTAGAATAGTGATATAGAGTAGCATAGTTAGGTATCATAACATCTATCTGTTAGAGGGTGTTGAAGTAAAACTTATTCAGGTAAGATCTAGGCTCATAATAGTAAAGTTTGCAACTAATGTCAGCTTAAGTATTTCTTAAAATAGAGTAATACAGAGTTAAGGTTAACTATAAGAGTAATATTTGCAGTAAGTGAAATAGGACTAGAGAGTTTAAATAAGAAATCTTCTAAGATATTTCAGATATAGCAACTAGTATAGAACCTTCAGGTGAACTATCTAAAATAGATAACTAAAATTGTATGTATGGCTAGTTGTACTCTTACAATATATATCACTTCTGAAATTTATAAAATTAATAAAGTTAAGCTGATAGCATAAGTATAAAGTAAAAAAAAAAAAAAATCTGTATATGAAAAATACAAATCAAGTAGGTATGAGTAAGTCTATTATATGAAAAAATAGTAATATCAACTTAGTTTAATAGCTAACTAGATTTGGAAAAATTAGTCTTATAAAATATTTGAAAATATAGAGTACTAATTTGGTAAAAAGCTATAGCAGAAACTAGATTTGTATAAATATCTATAAGAATATATGCTAGCTTAATTAGAATATAGTATAGCATAGTTAGAATTATCTGCAAACTTTCTTTTAAATAGAACTAATAAAATATCTTGAGATAAAATTCTTTCTACTAGAACAATTTGAGATGCAAGTTGGTATAAGTAGTTCTTAAATAAGGTAATACAGAATTAGTATAGATTAAACATTAGATTAAAATTGGGTTGTATAGAGATGTCAAAGAGTTTAAATAGAATATTTAAAGACAGATACTAGATATAAGAATTAATAGGTAACCTAAATGACTGAGTCTTTAAATAGATAATAACTAAAATTGTATATGTAGCTAATTGTACTCTTACTAACTAATATAAACTTAAGAATAATACTTAATAAAATAATCTATAAATAGCTTGTTAAAAAAAACAAAAAAAAAAAAAAATAGATAAAAAAAAACAGAAACCAATATTGAACTTTATAAATTAAATAATATAATACAGAGATGATAAATGACTCAAATGACTCAAATGACAAATGACTAGTTATTGGTTATTTCAAAACCCAAATAATTTAAAAAGATTATTTAACTTCTGTTAGTTGATAATCTAATGCCATTTAGCTAATTTAAATTGATTATTAGGCAAAAATTAATTTTTACAAAATATGATCAATAATAGTAGCTACATATAAAAGTCAAAATATCATTAAGTTAATTGATATTTATGTCTTAATTAAAGTTGTTCAAGAGAACAATTTTCATATATAATGAATGTTTCATACAATTTGATAACTTTTTATTAAACCATTTTTATGTCTTATATTTACAAGAAAAAAAATTTCAAAATTTTTTGTGTAAACGTTAAACGTAAAAATATTTAATAAAGAGTTATCAAAATTACATGAAAATTTTATTATAAATACAAATTGTTCTCCTGAACAACTTTAATTAAGACGCAAATATCGATTAACTTAATATTATTGGATTTTTATATTTAGCTACGATCATCAATTAGTGAAATGATCTAAATGACCTAATGACCCAAATAACCTGGTCATTATTTGATGATTAGAGGTCATTTAAATTTTGATCAAATGACCAGGTCATTTACCATCCCTGTATAACATATGTGAAGGCTGAAGCTGAAAATTAGAGGTCTTGATTTAAAACTATTGTCCTATTGTCTTATGAGTTGCCTTGACCTACAAGTTCTTATGAATTTCTTTTAATTTGTCCACAGAAGGTTTTGTATACTTTAGATGTTTCTTATTACTAGCCTTTGTTGCAGCTTTTGTTTTACCTATAGTTAAATAAGAACTCTATTACATATGCTTTTTTTTTCGCACTTTTTTTTTTATTAAAAAAGTTGTTTAAATTATAGGTTTTAAGCTTTGATCAGAGGAATTCAACCTTACAGCAACAGCGAACTCGTAGTACTTGCAAACTCTGCTATCCAGCAGTAATAGAAAAAAGGTATGTAGTTTAAAAAAAAGTTTTTTTTTCGCTTTATGTTAATCTGATCTGATCTTTTTTTCTTTAGGTCTAGTTGTATTATATGAAGGGACAGATCGGGCCATGATCATAAATTGCCGGATAACACCATTATTGGGCGAAATTAGCAAATCATGGTAATTTTTGCTTAATAATGTATAAATATTTATACTGTATATCAATATGATTTCTGTTATTTCTGCGCTCCCATATTGATTTCATGCTTGGAATCTTTCGAATAACTCTTGCTCGTAATTTATTTTCATTCATAGTCTACATCGGAACTTTTTTAATTGGAAGTTGTTGGCCTTAATGCTAGTCACCAATATTGATTATGCAATATTTCTTAATAGATTACGAGACAAATCTAATCTATGATGCAATACCAACCAATAATATGCAGTTTATTATAAAAACATCACGAAGCTTTTAGTTCAGAAGAACTAACCATAATATTAAAGTAATAGAAGTTCATAATCACGCTCGAAAAGCATTGCACGCATGTAATTTGTATTTAATTTTGGACGTTATCCCAGCAAAAGCGCCAGGAATTAATATTTAATTACGTGCATCCCAGCTAGTGGTTTCCCACTTGCTTAAAGCAGGCCAGCTGCAATTATGAAGTTCGCATTTGATGTTTCTCCCTCTTTTTTTCATCTATTAAAGTATTAGCCTTTATTATATATATCTGTCCATTTCTTTTTGTAGTAATCAACGTTGGGTAGTTTAAAGAACAGTTAACTCAGTGATTTTTACATGACACTCGGCCTAAATTAGGGTAAGGGTTAAGGGTTAGGGTTAGAGTGTAATTTAGGCTGATTTATTAGTGCTAGTAAACAAATGACGTCATGTAGATCACAGAGTAAAAATGGGTAAAGGCTAATGTTTGAAGCTTCGCATTCACAATGAAAAAATAAAAATAGTCATATTGTACTTCCCAATGCAAAGCCCAAAAGCCCCAAACAACGAGGAATTCCTTGTGAATTCGCATCGTAGATAGATTAGATGAAAGTTGTAAAACAATTATAAAAAGAATGTAATTCCTTTAAAAAATAACAGCGAACTAACTTCTGAGAAATAACTCAAAGTAGTCCTTTTCACCCACCTTAAATTGTTCCCGTGTCTTTTTTTTTTGATTTATTAAACTCGCCAAATCGTACGCCTCTTTCTGCCTTGTATAGGCTGTTTTTTTTTGTGTATATTGCGCCCATCCGAAGGAATCCTTATTTTCCGCCCATTAACATCGGAAATAAAGAATCGCCATTAATACTCACTGTATTAAAATAATTATGGCACAAGGAGCACAGGACTATTTGGATATTAAATATCCGAAGGAACAAAGAAAAGAAATAGTTGACATTGAAATCGAAAATAAGGTATTTTGGACTTAAAGGATTTCGAAAGTTTGGAAAAATTGAATTGCTCCTTCAACAAAATAACCTACATAGATATTAGTTGTTTTTATAATTTGCAGGAGATAGTTTATCTTAATAATAATTTGATTAGTACCGATTTTCTTTCTTCGCTTCCTTTTCCTGAGGAATATAGCAAATAATAACTTTGCTGAAAGTGATCCGAGTTTCTTAAGTAAATTTGTAAATCTTGAAGAACTTCGTTTAGGAACCTTTAATGATTTCCAGAAAAAAAGAAAATATTTTTTATTCCTGATCCTGAAAATGGTAAAATTCGATATTAATAAATATTATATATTAATAATTTATTAATTATGTTAGACCAAGATCACTATAAAGATTTTGATAAAATTTATGGCCAACCAACATCAGAAAGATTTCGTCCATCAGCAATAAATGTAACTACTAATGAAGAAATAAATAAATAAAAAAATGACTAATCAATTTATTAACTCAAAAATTCGACGTACAATTTTATGTGAACACTGTGGCAAAATGTGATATATTTATAGTGATGCAAATTTAACAACTGATTTAGAAATTACTCTTGATAGTTTATGCTATACATGTGGTTCACAATTATCACCAGAAGATAATGAGCTTTTTGACCAAATAAGTGTTAGATTAAATCTTACATGTGATTTTCCTATTGAATTAACATATTTATCATGGCGATTTAAAAATTTTGATATGTGCTATTGGTGTGGAGAATCTGAAAATCTAATAGAACTATTAGATATACTAAAAGCTGAATGGAAAACTATATATCCGTTATGTGAATTTTGCAAAAATAATGGAAAAACATGGCATAAAAAAGCATAAAAAAATTTACTTTCATTGAATAATAGTGATAATAAGGAAAAAGATAATGGAGTTATTAAAGAAAAGACAAGCAAAAAAAGAAAGTTTAATTATTATCACTAACTTTCTTAATCAGCTATCGATGAATTTTTCAATTAGATTGGTTAAATAATTGATAAGAAGCAAACACAATCCAGGCTTTTTTTTTTTTGGCTATTTTTGCTTGAGTAGAAAAGATGTAATCAACTGCTATAGCAATTACACTATATTATAATTGTGATTTTTAAATAAATTTTATATTTGAATGCTGCTGTGATTATATATAATTATTAAATTTTGTTAAGCTAATTATTTTGTGTAACTAAACCTAAATTAGGTTCCTTCGAACCTGACTTAGGTTCCTTCGAACCTGAAGTAAGTTCTTTCGAACCTGAATTAGGTTCCTTCAGACTTGAATTAGGTTCCTTCGAACCTGAATTAGGTTCCTTTGAACTCGAATTAGGATCCATCGAACCTTAATTAGGTCATCGAACTTGGAATTAGGCTATATCGAACCTGAATTAGGTTCTATCGAACCTGAATTAGGTTCATCGAACCTGAATTAGGTTCATCGAACCTGGATTAGGTTCATTCAAACCTCGTTTAATTTTAATGTTTGTTTAATTTTTCCCGTTCCCCTCCCCCACACAAATATCAAAACGTAACGTTAAACGAAGTTTTAATTTCAAACGGCCTAAAATTCTCGAAGAACCAAAAAAAGACCTTCCGAAGACCTAACAAAGAAACACGAAGCCCACTAAAATGCGACGAAACCTACCAAAAGACTCGACGACAAAACTACGAATACAACAAGGAAGCCAATTGAAACCTGAAACGACCTACCAGAAAAAAGCCACCGAACGGCGAGAAGAATTCACTGAAAAATCCAACGAACACACCAAAATTCGACGAAAGGGAACAACGAAAACGATGAAGAAGCACATCAAGACCCGACACGAACCTACGAAAAGAAGCACCAAAACGACAAGAAAAATCTACCTAAAGACCCAAAGAAGTACCTAATTCGACAAAGACCGACACTAATCCACCGAAAATAAACCACCAAAACGACGAGGAGAATTTATCGAAAGATCACCGAAAATGACGAAGAACGCCACCAAGACCAACCAAAAAGAAATCCACCGAAAGATCAAAGAAACACCAAAATTCAACGAAAAGGACCACCAAAAACGACTAAGAAACACACCGAGACCCATAGGAACTTATCAAAAAGAAATCCGCTGGAACGACGAGAAGAAATTCACCGAAAGATCCAAAGAAGCACCGAAATTCGACGAAAGAGACCACGAGAAGAAGCACCGAATACGACGAAAAAAGACACCGAATACGATGAAAAAGAAACACCGAATACGACGAAAAAGAAACACGACCAAAATGCGACGAATAAAGAAGCACCGGAAACGCGATAAAAGAGAAGCACCGAAACACGACGAAAGAGAAGCACCGAATACGCCGAAAAAAAACATCGAATACGACGACAAAGAAGCGCAGAATACGACAACAAAGAAGCACCGAACTAAAACACGACGAAAGCACGAAAAAGATGGTACAGATATGAAGAAACTCTACAAAACAAAAGGTTAGTGCAGTATACGGTAATTTGAAAAAAAAACAAAAAGAAAAAATTAAAAAAATAAAATAAATAAAACGATTTTATATGATAGCCGAACATATTTACTTTATTATTAACGATATACTTTTTACATTTATTATTTTTTTATTTTCAAAAAAAAGAATAACAAATACGATATAACTTATATATTACATTATTTGAAAATATGATATTTTATTTATAATAATATTTGATATACAGTAAAATAGAATTGTTTTTTGAGATATTCTTTGTTTCGGAGAAAAATTCTCCTACTCGTCCCAACCACCACGAAGAGGTGATATCTCATGGTTGGGAAGGTTTCCCCCAACCCCTCTCTCTCCACCGGTACTTGTCGTAGTACGTTTCCCGGCTTCGAGCGGGTTGTTCCCGAATCATTAATACGCTCTTCTCTTTCGTATTTCATCAGGCTTTGCTGTAAAAAGTTAGTTCAAAAAATTTAACAAGGTCTCACCAAAACGATAGCTCCGAAAAACGGCAAAACACCATAAAACGACGACTACGATGACGATAATAATTAAATTACACCAAAAATGACAACGAACAACGACGGCGACGACAAAAATAATTAAAATTACACCATAACAATAACGACGGCGACGACAAGAAATTAAAATTACACCATTAAACGACGACTAGAAATTAAAATTAAAAAGTATATTTTGTTAAAATATAATAAAAGAAGTGAAAAGTAAAGGATACGGGAATGTAAATTAGAAGAAAGAAGAGTAAAAAAAGAGGTCCTTATATCATGGCGTTTTTTTTTTTTTTAGAGCGATTCGAGTTGATACAATCATATGAATAAAAAAAAAACCACGTTTTTTACAGTAGACATCTGAACGTCATTTTAGTAAATCTAACATCATGCATGCTATTTTAGTAAATTGTCAATTTTTACATGTACTAATTTAGAAGTTAATCATGATTAATCTCGAAACAAGCGTCAAAGTACACGTATAGATTTTTATTGTACTATATTAATTAAATAAAAAGATAGTTAAAGTTAATAACGTGCGATCTATCGCTATTATTCGTTAAACCTGTTTTTTAACATGACTGAAGAATCGTATAGCTCTGGAAAATGTCAATAAATGTCACGGATGATCGTTAAATTCATAATACCTACTAAAATCTACATACTCTTTTATTAACAACTCTTTTCCTAAACCCTAACCCTAAAAAAAAGGGCTCTAAAAAATTTAAAAGCCACTATTCAATCTTTTATTTAATATTAGCATCATCGCAATATTCATCAAATATAATAATTTATTCCTGAGTTCTTACTTAAATATTCTTGCGATTTTGTGAATGTTTTGAGTTATTTTCCCATGAATGATTTAATTATCGGTGTTATATTTTCTGAATCTTCATATAGTGCAACTATTTTATTATTAGATTCAGATTGTTCATTCGAAATAATAAACATTCTATCACATGATAGTCTACGATAGATTTCTTTAACAGTATTTAGAAAATTTTTATTTAGATCTACTTCGGAAAAATCGTATCGATATCGTAGATAGTAATTTTTTGTTCAAATCGTTGAAAGTATATTTCGTGATGAATAAGTTAAAGCTTAATATCAGTGCGAATACGGGTAATTAAATTTTGAGTAGAAAATGGGTTTATCAAATAGTTAAGAAAATGAAAGATTGTTTCTAATCATTTAATAATTGATTTTAGAATCTTCACCAGCTTTTGCAGATAATAATATTACGGGAATTAGTTGAATTTTTACATTAAACCTTAACACATCTAATAACTCATATCCATCACGTTTGGCATATATCTGTTAAATTTAAAATAATTACTATGTGCGATGATCGGATATTATGATTATATAATTACTTGCCGCTAAGGGTAATCTGTTAAGTTTTTTTTTTTAAGACTCTATAGCATCTTTGTCGTCACGAGCACGATGCACATAAACTCTTTTAAAAGATTTGTCAGATGATCTCGATTAAAATCTAATAGTAACAATTTTAAAATTTCTAATTTTGTCCAAGTTGATATTTTTCTTTAGTAATAAGATCAATATCCATTATTATTATTATTATCATCGATTAACACTTGGTCCATTATAACATCTAGAGTAGAGATGGGTTTCATACGCATTGTATCCCATTAAGATTTCTCTCCTCTCGATCATTTTAATCATTTTTTTTTCATGCAATATCATGCGCATCCATCCTCATCCGCCCAATTGATAGCAATTTGCAAGGATACTTTAAACTATATCATCATTTTGGTTTTTCAAGAACCAATTAACTATATCCTCCGGTTTTTTTATCAAAAATTGATCCATAATATAGGATTTTGATTTAATATCTTTACATTTCATCCTTTCTTCATTATAAATTACTGTACATAATTTTTAACAAATTTATTAAGAAATCTTGTGAGTGAATTGCTTTTTTCGAATTCATGCGACTGTAATTGGTTAGTACCATCTGACGAAATGGTTTTTCTGATCGTTTTATAAAGAGATGATTAAAAACTTCATTTATTGCACGGGTCTTATGTGACAACCCGTGCTTTTTTCATTTACTTATTGGCACGGGATTGTTACGTCAGACACCGTGCAATAAAATAGTTATTATATGGGTTGAATAACCCAGTTATTCACACGGGTTCATATTTAAATCCCGTGCCTCCGGCACGGAATATGAACCCGTGTGTAACTGGGTTATTCACTACAACCCATACAATAACTATAAATTATTCGATTATAAGAAATTAATACCAGAGACAATATTTTTATATCAATGCGCTGTCCTACACCTTTCAATGACTATAATGGCTAGTTACAGGTAAAGGGTTTATCACGTGACAAAGTTTATTGCGAGAGGCTTTAGGCTTTTGTAATTAAAGATTGTATGATAACTATGAAATACATTTTGATCTAAGTTTTAGGTCGCTTGAAGTAATTCTTCGGTTAACATTGCTTTTGGGAAATTAAACGATCAAATAAAATAAGGAGAATTTACTTGTTACGTTTGATCGGTCAATTAATTTCATTGAATAAAAAATTCCAAGTATTTTTTCTATTACAGTACGTACTGTACAACAAACATTTCAAAAACATTTTGAGATAACGAACCTAAAGTATTGAAACCCCAACAAAGAATCCACCGAATTCGACGAAAGAACCCATTAAAACCAAAGAAATCCAGAAACCCGAAAAAATCCACTAAACCGACGAAATCTATCAAACGCAACGAAAGAACCTACCGAAAACAACGAAGAACCCTGCAAAAAACACCGAAAACGACGAAGAATTAGAGATTGTACCTGTTGAGAAAATCACTACCCGAATATTATTAAGTATCCAGATTGACTCGGATAAATTATTGTTATTCAAGCAAAAATATTATCCGGGTACAATCGCTACAAAGAATACACCGAAAGAAATCGCCAAAAACGACGAAACCCGAATAAATCCACCAAACGCAATGAAAGAACCCACCGAAAACAACGAACCCTGCAAAAAACACCGAAAACGACTAAACCTGAAAAAAACACCGAAAACGACGAAGAAAAACCTAAAGGAAGCAACGAAAACGACAAGACCCGCAAGAAAAAAAAAACAACGAACGAAAGCACCCTATAACAACATAGAACTCACCAAAACTTGATTAAAGTACCGCCGAAAGAAATCGCCGAAATTCGACGAAAAAAAAGCACCAAAGACGACAAAAAATCCACCTAAGCTTGATGAAAAAAAGCGCCGAACTCGACGAAGGCACCTAAATTAGCCGAAAGAACGCACTAAATACGACTAACCACTTAAAAAGACTCTAGAAACACCAAATCAACGCAACAAAACCACCAAAAGCGGCGTATTACGCAAGCGCAACGTATCCCACAAGATCTACTGAATTACACCTATGAAGATGAGCGAAACGATGACAAAAAAGAACCCAACGATGACGATTAAAACAAAAAGACGGTACAAACAACGACGACCCGAATAAATAAAGAGTTAATAATAAATATACTGTTAGTGATCATGGCCAATCAAAATTTTTCGACCGGCTAAGCCGATAAAATTTTACCGAACCACCCCCGCATCTAGCCAAATAAAAAAAACCAAAGACATTAAACTTAGCGTGCAAGAGAAAACTATTATCTTAGCCGGCTTAGTCGATTTTTATTAAAATTTCGTAATCATTTAGAAGATTAAAGTTCGTTCATTTTCTATATCGGAATTTTAGGAATGTCATAATAAAATCGATTATCCGTTTTTAAAAAAATCGACCTGTTAAGCAGATTTTTTCAGGATCACTATATACTGTATACGTGTTAAAACAGCCAACATGATAGTCTGTTGTCAATTTCTTGTTTTATTGATAAAAATTATATTCTATACTAATTTCTATTGCTATATTCTATTGTTCTATTTATTTATTTATTGTTATATTAATAACTAATTATAATCTTGGCAATTTTTTGTTCTATTGACAAAAATTTTATTCTATTCTAAATTCCATTGCTCTATTCTATTGTTCTATTGTTATATTCATCTATTGCTGCCAATACTGATGATAATCTTTGTTTATATAACCCGTGACAAAAATGCGGGACATTATCTTAAATATTAAATCACACACACTCTCTTACCCCATACCGCTTAAATATATTTTTAAAAAAAGTCTCGTCATAAACTTCAGGAAACGAATTTAACATTTCCTGAGTTCGATTGCATATTGCACTTAAACGTTTTTAAAAACTATATAGCTATAATATGAACTAATGGTTATAGTGGAGAAACACATTTTAACCTATTAACACCAAAAACTAGTTTGACTTTAAATAGTTTCTTTACAGATATACTTAAGAAGCATAGCGGAAACCAAAGATCCCTGCTTTTATTTCTTTTATGACGTCAAAAGAAAAGCTAGAACCATTAAAAAACTACGGGTTATTTCTAGTGCTCCGTTACTAAGTGGCATTAAAAAAGTGGTGTATTTGACAGATTTGTTTTAATATTCTTAAGAATAAAAGACAAACCATGCGGTGCCTCAGGCCATGTCAGAGGCACGTGCGCAAAGGGCCAATCCAACTATTGTTAAAGATCACTTTGACAAATTAAATAAAATAATTCAAGATTATTCACTTACCCCAGACCATATCTGGAACATGGACGAAACCGGCTTCGTTATAGCTCCTAAGGTTCAAAAAGTTATTGCTGCCAAAGGCTCCCGTCAAATTCATAAGGTTGCTCATGGTAACTCGCATGATCACATTTCTGTTGCACCAACGATTTCAGCTGCCGGTAGCTATATCCCTCAGTTAATTATATACAATGTCATTCATGCAATTCCTGGTTTGTTAAGCGGAGCACCACCTGGCACAGTTATGGGTTTTACTGACTCGGGATATATGCGTGAAGATCTCTTCCAGATGTATCTCGAACATTTTATAAACTCTATTCCTCCTCGTCGTCCAGTTCTTTTAATTCTTGATGGTCACAAAAGCCATATAAATTATATGTGCGTTAGTTTTTGTCATGAGAATGGAATTTTACTATATGCACTTCCACCTCATACAACGCACGTTCTTCAGCCATCCGAACTTCCTTTTGCTAAACTTAAAACCGAATATAGCAAAGGCTGCAACAACTTTACTAAGAAACTAGTGAGCTAGTAACGAAGTCCACATTTGCTAAAATATTTGGACAAGCATTTATTAAAACTTACACTCCTTCAAGAATAACTAACGCCTATAGAGTTACGGGGATTTGGCCTTTTAATCCTAATGCCATTGTCTTGATCTCTCCTTATCTACCGAACGAATTGACATCTCACCTTCATCCGATCAAGAAATTCCTTCAAATATTCTCAGCAAAACTCATATCTTTCTATACCGTCCTCTCAACAAAATCCATATTCTCCTACACGTTTTTTCACTTATCAAAATCCATATTCCTTTATGCCATCTTATCACCAAAATCCAAATCTCTCTTTACCTTTTTCTCAACCAATTCATATATCGTCTTCTCAAGAAAATCATTATTCCTCTACACCGTCTTCTTCAAGCCATTTTACATAAGCTAATATTACTGGGGAGAACGAACTATTGGCTGAACTCAATGCTCTAAGAAGAGAAAATGGGTTATTAAAGGAGGAACTTCGAGACGTTCAAAAATCCTGGTACTTGCTCACTAAAATTGGCCCTCAAGTATCCTACTTCTCGAGCTCCGACGCAAGGCAACGAGAAAGAGCCCAATCAGTCAAAAAAAAAGAAAGATCTTGCCATTTGCCCGGCTCCTTACTCATGAAGAACCCCTAAATGCACCAAAAGAAGTCGAAGAGTTAGCAAAGAACAAAGCAGAAGAAACAAAAAAAAAGAAAAGAAGAGGCAGCCCTGAAACGAGCTAATCGTGAAGCAGAGAAAAAGCACAAAATAAAGCTGAAAGTGAGCGAAAAAAAGAAGAACGATTACGTAAAAAAAGAAAAATGGTTACGTAAAAAAAGATGAGGGTATCATTAGATAGTAAATAGAATTTTATTTTATTTCGCTTAATTTTTGTTAATGTTAATACACTTTTTCTAAAAATTTTTATATGTACAACTCTTAAGTGTGCCATAATACCCGACCCTCCCTTATAATTTACTGAAATGTAAAAAATGTAATTTTCGTAACACAACTTTGACTTTATTAGTAAAATTTTGAATGAATTTGGACAAAATTTATCAAGTTCGATAGTTTTCAATCCTGAAATTTACTCTAAATTTTGGTTGCGCAACTCGGCGAAAAATTGGAAGGCCAAGCCAAAAGTTTCGCAAGCAAATTTATTTGATTGTAAGAAAGAAACCAAAACATTCTAAACGAATTCTGTTAATAGCACGCGTGTATATATATCAATTGTAAGTGGGAACGTAATTGGAATTTTAGGATCAGGGCGAAGGTTTTTAACTATATTGATCTGTTTAATTAAAATTCTTGATTAATTATTTTCTATTAATATTTTAGATTGTGTGTTTGTAAATGAGTTGGAGACGGTGGTAAGGAAGCGAAATAATTTATTGGATACAGTTTTTATAAAGGGAAATTTCATTTGGGATATTGACGGGTATTGTAGGTTATAGAATTTCGGATGATGCAATAGGAAAAGGCTAAGAAGTCAGAATATGATATTAGGGTCATATCATATGTAAAAAGTATCGTTTAGCTAGTTACAGGGCGATTAATAGAACAAGCTTTGGCATTAAAAAATAGAATTAGAATTTTTTTAATTAGATCATAATTTAATATTTAAACTAATTCAACTTTTTATCGTATATCGATTAAATCAGAAGGTGATAAAGCTCTGAGTTGATAGGAAAATGAACTTTTGAATGATTGGATAGGTCGAAACAGACTAATGAATTTTACTGTTGTCTATTAACCTCTTTACTAATTGAATATAGGAAGGGCTCTCGACCGATCCTTATACAAAGATAATAAGAGTTTATAGTCGAGTATCCGTATAATTTCAAGAAACTCCTAATTGCCCGAAGCTCATTATTCCAAGATTTAGGTTAAATATATTTTTGATATCTTTGACGTTTTTATATTATCATAATGAAATAGCATTGAATTTTAAAAATTTAAAAATTTAAATATTAACATAAATTTATTTGATATTTCACATCATATAAAGTTTCTACATGTCTACTAATAAACAGAACAAATTAACATATGGATGTCGCCATGGAAAAATCTGTCATCAATCCTATAAACTTTATATGTCTGAGTTTCCCTTGGCGGCATTCATATAAGACCTTTTTGTATTAATTGTGTCATGCTTTTGCTTTCAGTTTAAAATTAAGGTCTGATGGTTTGGGGGGTTTTTTTTTGTTTTAATATTCATTGCGAAAGAAATCTAACCAAGGATAAGTACAGACGTTGATCCTGTTAAACAGAAATCAACGATTAGGTCACCCTGATGCGATTATGTAGTTAAAACCTGATTTCATAAAATAATTACAATCTATACAATAATATATCAAAATCTACAGTAGTATCATTTCATTTATATTATATTAAAAGAAGGCTTGAATTTATAATATCACTTTATTTCCCAACATACTTGTTTGTGCAATACTGTAACAATATAGTACGTTATTTCACATATTTTCCCAACAATATATATAGTCTGTGCTAACATAGAATACTTCATTAACTGCTTTCTTCAAATATTAAACAATTCTCATATAAACGGCTCACATCTAGCAATCCTTTAAATCATTAAATTTATCCTTTAAACTGCAAGAAAATACCCTCGACAATTTGCTGATTTACATTTACACTCGTATTTCGCCATACCCTCCTCCTGTATTTCCATTTTAGTACCGTCGCCTTTATGTTTTGTATCAACAGCTCCAACATAATCAAATGTAAGTTCCTCACCAAATTCAATATCTCTTTTAGCAAAAAATGCAATATGATGAAGTCTTATATCACAATTACCATTAAGCACGGGAAATACCACTAGATTTGGCTCACATGAATGATTAAAGAAGTGTGAAATATTTCCATATTTACATGCATCCACAGTGAAAAATGAAGTTGCAGCGCTATCCGTATCATCATAGAAATCAATATCAAATAAATAAGTTTTTCCTACTTCATCATATTTATTTCCTCGCAAATCTGCTTCCTGTGAAGTTATAATTTCTCCAAGATAATAAGTAATGAATGAATCCTTTTGTATATGTTGTAACGCGATAACTCCCCAACCTTTTTCCATAAATCTTTTTAAACCTAAATTAACCTTTCTCTGACGTTGTGTTACGCGATTAGGACATGACAAGTCGCATGAACATGCATTATTACATTCAATAATTGCGTTGCCAGGTTGTAAATTCACTTTTCCAGTTGAACGTTTATAATAAAGGCGGCCACCATTTTCTTTTTTTAAACAATTACAATGTTTCCCTTTACATTTCCCAAATTCACATTTACATCCAACTAGAAGTCCTTGATATTGTTCTGGATGAGGAACGTTTTCTCCATATACATAATCATCGACATAAGTGAATTCCGGAGGAATTCCTTGATTATCAATATCGTTAAAGATTGGAATTGGTGGCTCATCATTATGAATAAAGGTTTGATGTGAATGTGCGAATTTTACCACATTATTCGATTTTGATTTTTTGCAAAATTTACCCTTAATTAATTTATAATAATAATAGATAAAATAAAATAATAGATATAATTTTTATGTCATATATAATGGTTAATATAAATAATATTATTTTTAAAAATATTAATCAAACTAACATTTTGTGACTGTTGTTGAAAACTATTCAAGTCTTCTTCTTCTTCTTCTTCTTCTTCTACTAACCATTGTTCTAATGCTTTTTCAAGATTATAAGCTTCTACTAATTCAGGGCAATTAAGATTTTTTGCAGGTTCCCTGTTAGATTACAATTAATGTATAAATTTTAGTAATAAATAAATAAAAGAATTTATATTAATAAAAATTTTATTTACCAAGTATTATATGTTTCATCAAAATTTTTCCACTTAAGAAAGTAATATTCAACTCTCTAAAAATATGATGTAATTAATCTGAGTTAAAATATAATGACATTTTTCTAATATACGTAATAATAGGATAATCATGATGTTAAAAAAAAAAAGAACTTTATGAAGCATAATAAAAGTATGAAGAGTTTATAGTAAAAATGTAAATTAATTTAAAAAATTTCTTTGATAGATATTTTTTTTTTTATTAACTTTCTTTATATATTTACTGAAAAATCAAATTAAAAAATTTTTATATCTTGTAATTTTTTAAAAAAATACAAGTACTTACATGTAAATTTTTTTTATCAATTATTTTTTCTACCTAAGTGAAAGTTGATCAAAATAAAGGTTTTTTTTTAACACTAAAAAAAAAGTAATACAAATTATAAAAAAAGTTTACTTCATATTCATAATCCATAGTGAATGTCGTACGTCGAAAATTGAACTATTATAGATTTAGAATCCACGAAATTTTAAAAGCAATTTATAAAATTTGATACTGTGATAAATTTATAATAATCGATGAATTTAATTTAAAAGCAATTTAAGTTGGTTTCTAAATTCGATATTCTAATAAATGTGTGTTAATCTATTGACGTAATGATAATTAATTAATTTTACTATATTTATTTATTTAGTGCAATTCGATTGCCATGTGTAGTCATGCGGTGTAATTCATATTTTTTTAATGTAGCAGATTGTCCCAGGAAAGGAAATTTACATTTTTCGATATAGCTAGCTATAGCTATTAGCTTCTATGTACGTAGAAAAATGCATTTGTGAATACTGTACTTCATTAATTGTAGGTTTGCCAGTTGGATTTTTTTTTTTTCGGATACTGTTGCCGGTCTGATTGATAATCACTAATCGTCAAGGCCATAAAATGAAAGACTGCAACGACTTCTAAAAAACCCAACTTTGATAAAAATTTTTTTTCTAATTTTATAAAGATAAACCTCTGTCTTATACTTTAGCACTAGTGATTATTTTTCCGTTTAATATTTAGATAAAATATATATAAACAACATATTAACGTTCCTTTCAACCTTTAATCAAAAAATGACAGGTTTTTCAGATGATTATCTCAAGCTTAACAATAATGATTTTAATTAAAATTTTCAATCTATAAAAATTAAATTGTTCTATACACATTTTGATATAGATCTTAATATTTTTATAATAAATCAGATCAATAGCACCTGTTGGTCGTGGTGTGATAATGAGGGCATCTCTGAAATTATTTTTCAATAAATACGTAGATTAATGATCCTTTGCTCGCAGACTAATTGGCACAATCAAGATAATTTGAGGGGGTATGTTAAATGATGAATATTTATAAACTTGCATCGCCAATTTTAAATACGTAAATTAATGAATTATCTTTTGTTTACGGACTACAAACAAAATGATGTATGGTTAGCCCATTGCAAAGCAACGAATTGTCTGCTATTTTTATATGAATTAAATTATGAAATTTAATATAATTTACTACTACAAGTAATTAACTCTGGTAAAATTCTACTGATATCTTGTATATTTCATTATACATTAGTAAAACTCGGTGAGATTTATTATCTGTTATAGGGAAATTATAAGATAAATAATTTCTCGTGCATAGGCACCGGATCAGTCAACTAGTATCTAATATTCTACTAATTTTAACAAATTAACCCTAGGCGGAGAAGCCATTATCAAGTTCTAATTATAAAAAATTTACATTAAATTCCGACTATGATACTGTTAATGAACTATCTCTTAAATTTTTAACAACTGTTAACATCTATTACTATATTTAAAATTATTAGTTATTTAAATATGCAGTCTCTGATTACTAAATAGTTAAACTATAAATACATTTAGACAATAATTAATATATCTTGGTATTTTGTAACCTCCCATTTAATTTTCCAAGTAATCGTTGGGCGTATGCTGAAAAAGTGCTTCTATCTGTTCCATAGAACTTATTACCTCTTGACACTACAAGCAAATCTACAAATCGCATTAAAAAATAATAATTGCATTATCTCTAGGATTGTTTAAAAACTTCAAAGGTTCTAATAGATCATTAAAATCATCTAGTAAGTATACACACGAAAAAGCTTGAAAGAATGATTGAAGGGAAATGTCCATCTGTCGCTAGAAATATTATAGTAGGTAAACATGCATTATCATTTCTTGTGTTGATATCTTTAAAATCTAGTTTGAATCCTTTCGATTAGTCCTTGGATCATTTAATTTTGATTATGTCTAAAAAAGCCATCTCCCAATCTTGCATGTACTCCAATAAAACTATCTGTTCCTCCAATTTTGTTAACCAATTAGATTTGTAATATTAATTATCGTTGGATTGTTAGGTAGTATTTCATTCATTAACTTGTTCCAAAATTCTTCACTTTTGGGTAATTGTAGAACAATTCTATCCTCTGAGTACACACTTCCAAGATGTAATAATTTTCGGTTCTTTTGCTTAAGTCGATCAAATTTACACGCGCTTTGAATTTACCAAGTTCGATGGTTGATGTTGGATCATCATAATATCGTTGTTGATAAAAATCTGTCATTAGTCACATTGTACACTTCGATGTCACCATAAATGTGAAGTAATTCTAATAAGTGTTTAAGATTAAAATCTTGACGATGAATATACTCTTAAAAATGTAAAGTTTATTAATTCTGTAATTTTTCCCAATCATATATGGTGTAAAGATACTGTCTTACATATATTTTACAGCGAATAAATTTGTTTTCAGCTAAATTATCTTTGAGAACTATAAATTGTGATAAAAGATTATATAGTTTATCATATGGGGTTTCGTAACACCTCTGAAGAATAGGAATTATTAATGTTCTGTTTAAAAACCATGCCAAGAAAATAGCATTTTCAAATCCAATTCTTTGGTTATTGAAACCATAATGTGGTAGATATGTC